AGAGAGAGAGAGAGAGAGAGAGAGAGAGAAAGTTTTTAAGCCTATAAAAACTTACTCATGGTCTCATGAACTTTTCAATTTACCTTTCATCAGACATCAGTTCCAGGATATCATCACATCCAATTCTTTCTTGAGATCTTGTAGAATTAAGGCTTTCCATAGTCTATAACGCAATATACCATTGTTAAACAGAGCACTGCATGTAAGATACTGATGTTACATATTATGCAGAAACAATCTCATTTTAATTTTTGCCATATTTAAACTATTAGAATATATAAGAAACATTTTGCAAGAAAATGTATTTAATTTTTGTGCTCATATGACCCCTTTTCTGTAAGAATTCAGAAAGCATTCTGGAAATAATAAGTATATCTCTAGCACTCTTGTTAGGTATTTTCTAACTTTGATAGATGGACATAGTTAGATGCAGAAATTACAGATAATGTTATTAAAGGGATGGTCTGTCAATATTTAGAAAGGGAAGTAGTGATCTCTATGAGACAGTACAGCTTCATCAAAAACAGGTCATTCCAGACAAACTTTTTTTTTTAATACAAAGTTGACAAAAGATCAAGAGAATGCTATAAACACAATTTACTTAGATTTTTAGCAGAGCATTTGACAAAATCTCTCAAGCAAGATGGAATGATGCCAGGTAGAAGACATTAATACAATTAGGTCAATTCATAACTGGTTGACTAACTCTGACTGAAGAGGAGTTATTGGATGATTAATGTAAGCTCAGAAAGAAGTCTCTGTTAGAATGTCCCCACGGATCTGTCTTTAGTCCTATGTTATTTGACATTATCAATGACTTGGGTAATAACAAAATTATCAAATTTTCATATAAAGAAAGCTAGGAGGGATAGCTAATGCAGCAGATACAGGAATCAGAACCCAAAATAAACTTCAAAGGTTAGAAACTGTGCAGAAGATGAAATCTAATGGAGATAGAAGTAAAGTCTCACATTTAGCTTACAAAAAAACCCAACTTCGCAACTATATACTGCGTGAGGTAAAAGTTAATACGAAAAGTATCTGAAGAATTCAGTAGATGATAAGCTCAATAAAAATCACGTGAAATAATGGTTTAAAAAAAGGAATGTGTTTTAGGCTATTTTGAGCAGAACAGTATGCAGAATGTGGGAGGTAATAATCCCCATTGCTCCCTACCATGAACAGTACTCCACCTTCAGAGTATTGTGTTTAATAAGGTGCCAGAATTTTAAGAGGGCATTGATGAGTAGACACAGCGTCATAAGAGGATCAGTTCAAGGAAATGGGGATGTTTAGGATGAAGAAGAGACAACAGGAAAGGAAAATGATAGCCTTCTTCAAGTGTCTGAAAACACTGTCATATGGAAGAAGGATTAGATTCCTCCTGAATAAGTAGAACATGGTGTCTCATTCATGTTCTCCCACAAAAGGCCAGAGAGTAGAACATGGAACAACTGGGAAAAGTTGTATAGAAGCAAATTCAGGCTTGACATGAGGAACTGTTAATAAATAGAATGGGTTCCCATGGGAAGTGATGGCCTTCACACTAGGGGTTTCTTTTTAAAATACTATTTTTAACTTTTTAAAAAGTCAACTAGCATTCATTTTCTGTCCTTCCCACCCCTCCCCCCACAAATGAAAACAAAACAAAACAAAAATACTTATAACAAATAAACATAGTCAAGCAAAATAAATTCCCACACTGGCCACGTCCAAAAATATGTCTCATTCTGCATCCAAAGTCCTTCAATGATCTATTAGGAGGTGAGTAGCATGCAACATCATCAATTCTCTGTCATCATAATTAATGACTGCATTGAGAAGAGATCTTCTTTCAATTTTTTTTCATTTTTTTACAATATGTTGTTATAGAAAAAATTGTTCTGTTGGTTCTACTAATTTTGCTGTGTATCAGTTCATGCAATTCTCCCCAAGTTTCTTTAACACTGTCCCTTTCTTCATTTATTATGGAAGAAAAATATTCCTTTACCTTCATACATCATAATTTGCTTAGTCATTTCCTAATTCATAGTAAACCCCTAATATTTCAGGTCTTTGCCAAGTTTTTATGTAATTGGGTTCCTTTTCTTTTTATTTGATTGCTTTGGTATATGGATCTAATCGTGCTACTGCAGGGTCCAAGGGTGTGTACAGTTTAGTAATTGTTTGGACATAGTTCCAAATTGTTTTCCAGAATGGTTGGACCCATTCACAACTCTACCAATAATGCATGGATGTGATTATCCTTCCTCATCCCCTGAACATGCTTTTTTTTTCTCTTGGTCAGTGCTATCAGTCTGATGGGTGTGAGATGACACCTCAGAATTGTTTTAGTTTGCATTTCTCCAATTATTAGTGAATTGGAGCATTTTTATGTGGCTATTGATGGCTTGGAATTCTCATTCTAAAAGCTACCTTTATGTATCCTTTGACCATTTATCAGTTGGGGAATGACTCTTGTTCTTATATATTTGAATCGGTTCCTTATAAACTTGGAAATGCAACCTTTTTCAGAGAAACTTGCTGCAAAGGATTTATTCCCTCCAGTTAACTGTCTCCCTTCTAATTTTAGCTGTATTGGTTTTCTTTCTGCAAAAACTTGATGTAGTCAAAATCATATACTTTATCTTCACCGATCTCCTCTATTCCTTGCTTGGTCATGAACTCTTCCTCATTTTTATGAAATGCAATTTCTTCCTAACTCCTTTAATTTGTTTATGATTTATACTTTATGTCTGAATCGTATACCAATTGGGAGCTTACCTTGGTGTACGGTATGAAATGCTGGCCTAAACCTAGTTTCTTTCAGACTCCATTCCAGTTTCCCCAACATTTTTTTTTTGATTGATGAGTCCTTGTCCTAACAGTTGCAATCTTTGGGTTTGACAAAGGCTCATTTGTTACTGTGCTTCAATATATAATGTACTTAATTTGTTCCATTTATCAACCACTCTATTTTTCAATAGGTGCCAAATTGTTTTGATGATTACTACTTTGTAGTATAGTTTGAGATCTGGTATTCTTGAGATTTGACCTTTTGTTTTCCCTGATGAATTTTGTTATTATTTTTTCTAGTTCTATGAAAGAATCCTTTAATAGTTTGACTAGTATGGCATTGAATAAGCAAACTAATTTAGACAGTATTATCGTTATTATTACATTTGCTCAATCTACCCGTGAGTAATTGATGCTTCTTCATTTATTTAGAGCTTTCTTTATTTGCATAAATAGTGTTTTATAATTGTCATATAGTTCTTATGTGTACTTTAGCTGGTAGACTCTCAAGTATTTATATGCACACACACACATACACATATATGCTATAATTTTTTAACTGGAATTTCTCTTTTCATCTTTCTTTGTTGGATTTTCTTGGTAATATTCAGAAATACTTACAATGTATTTGGGTTTATTTTATGTCCTGCAACTTTGCTGAAGTTGTTAAATGCTTTAATTAGCTTTTTAGTTGACTCTTCAGAGTTGTCTAAATAAACCGTTATATCATCTGTAAAAAGTGATGATATTCTCTCCTCTTTGCCTATACTTATTCCATCAGTTTCTTTTTCTTCTCTTATTGCTATAGCTAGCTTTTATAGCACTGTCTTGTGCAGCAGTAGTGATAATGGACATCGTTGATTTACCCCTGATTTTACTGAAAAAGCCTCTAGCTTTTCCCTATTACAGATAATGCTGGTTCTTGATTTTAGATCACATTAAGGAAAGAGCCATTTATTGTTATGCTTGCTAGTGGCTAGTGTTTTCAACAGGAATGGGTATTATATTTTGTCAAAAGCTTTTTCTGTATCTATTTATATAATATATGATTTTTGTTGTTCTTGTTAAAATTGACAATTAAATGTTCAGTTTTGTTATTTTAGTTTAACTAGCCCTGAATTCCTAGCAAAAATCCAACCAGTCACAGTGTATAATTTTTGTGATATGTTGCTATAGTCTCCTTGTTAATATTTTATTTTTTATAAATTTGCATTAATATGTATTAGTGTTATCAGTCTATAGTTTTCTTTCTCTGTTTCAACTCTGCCTGGTGTAAGTATCAAAGCCATGTTTATATCATAGAAGGAATTTAATATGACCTTTTCTTTTCTTTTTTCCCTCATCTTTGTGATTCTGGATTGGAAGGATAAGGAAAGATGTGGCATGACCCACTCTTTTTTCACATAGGTTCCCTACTCAAGAAATCCTAGTTGCTTCCTGTTGCCTCAGGATTAACTAGTAACTCCACTATTCATTCTTTTTGAATGATTTCACATGGTTTTCCATCATGCATTCTATGTTCCAGGTAAACTAGCCTGTTTACTATTCTCCACCCCAACATTCCATCTTAATCCCCTTCATGCTTTTATACAAGCTATACCACAAGATTGAACAATTTCCTTATCACCTCTGCCTCTTGGAACACCTAGTTCCCTTTGAGGACAGTTGAAATAATCCTTCAGGTTATTCCTCTTCCCTGTGCTGCCAATATGTTTACTTTGCATATATTTTGTATTTACTTATTTGGACACATGTCGTTTCCTTCCTGAAGAAGGTTAAACTTCTTTGGCTTGCCTTACTGGGCAAAAAGTTAAACTCTCGATTTCTTGAGGCCAGGAACTAATTTATTTTTGCCTTTTTGTCTCCAGTGATTTGTACACAGTAGATATTTAATAAATATGTGTGGAAGTGCATATGAGGAATGCAAAACACTAAAAGAACACATCAGGGCCCCTTCTAGCAAAAGGGAGCAGAGAAAACTTAGAAGAAAAAGTGGCATTTGAGTTGTTTCGAAGGATCGATCAGTAGGTCAACCTAGCAGAATACGCAGAAAGAACTTTAGGGAGATAGATTGATTTGGGTCCATTGAAATAAGTAGGACTCACAAAGCTTTACCAGTAATGTTGGGTTTTGTTGTTTTTTTCCTAAGGGTAGAAAGTGCTCTACCCATTGTAAATGACTTTGCTGTCTAGACTCTAGCTGACTTCAATTCCAAAGTCAAGTATAGGTGACTGTCTATTAAATGCAAACCCAATGACTTCTAAGAAAAGCACATGGTGTCCTTGCAGGCCATTTTATGTAGCCAGGTTATGAATATTCAACATGGTAACATGGACCTGTAGGATAATGTCATCATTAGAACAATTTTAATGTTTAAAGCAGAAATAT